CTCTACTGGGAGGAACACGTCGGAGCTGCACTGCAAAGTAAGCTGCATTTGAGAGGCATGATGATCTTTTTTCTCCTGAGCTTCCAACGAGTGCAGCTACTTTGATTTTTTGCCGTTTGTAATGAGGCCACCGCAAGGTTTGTTGCAGCGTGTCTCAGTCAGTACTATACTAAAATGTCGGTTCGTTGTGAGACAAGATCACACATCTTAAGAAATCACCAAAGCTCCTGGACACGACTAAGTAAAGTTCTACTTGGCGGGATACCAATTTTAATATCAATGTCTGGCCACAGTTAAGTTAATGGCAATTGGCTGACGCAACCCAAGTATGCTGACCCAGAAAGCGTTCGCATGACCACTGAGTGATACATGCTCCGCTCACGTGATCGATGGCCATTCAGGCCAATCGATTGCGAAGTGAGCAGTTTTCACACCTCCCTTCCTCCGTGTTCTTGTTTTACTTGTACGGATAGCCCAATTCTAGTTTTGTGATCTTGCCATGTGTATTGATTAGAAAAAGAGATCCCCAAAAGCATCGCTATTCATCCGTTTGCTGTGGCAAAATATCTCCACGTGGGGAAACATCTTGATTAAATATTTATTTTCATTCTGCAAAGCTGGCTCCAGTGTTCTCTGATGCATGGCGAGTACGTGGACACGTATCACAGTGATTCCATCATTTATAAGTGAACCGGATTCATCCACTCTCAGGTCTGTCGTTGCCCTTACAATGAAACAGAGTCGGGAAAAAAACACAACTTGAGTGGACACTAATGGAGTTCTCTTAGGACTGATAATGGCAAGGATCAGATAGCTACAAGAGAGATGATGGAATACCGGGTTTTCCCACACCCTGACTGGAGCATATAATATGCTCACAGGGATAAATTGAGATAAATCTGCTGACAACTAATCATATTATTTGACTCATAAATATTAAACAGAACGGAACTTTACTCCGATCACTATATAGTGGACTGCAACCTAAGTCGGTAGAGTTTCGGTGTATTCATTCATACAAAGCCGAAAAATAGTATTTTTGCCCCCCTCCCTCAAGAGATTTGATCTCATCACAAACCAAAAAGATGGCTTGGCATCGGTGATCGCTCGGGAAAAAGCGGTCCCCCTATTCATTCCTATCCATCTAGACTAATACCAATATGATTGATACCTAAAAATAGCTCCGTTCCGATGTCTGCCCGTACAGATACGTACAAATCGCGAGTGAGAATATGTATAAATCCGTTCTGAAATCCTCTGTTTTGCTGACGTATAACGGCTGGTTATTTATAGCCTTGGTCAATAACTGCACTGTTTGCACGACATATTGCAATAGCTTCCGCTTTGTAGGCCCTTAAAAATCGGAGCTTCATTTTGACAAACATTTGCTGCGCTTTTGTGAGGGTAGACACAAAACACCAAATTTAGTTTATTGTTCACTCTAAACACATTATCTGCTTTAGCTCTTGCTTGTTTAACGAAACAAGCATGTGGTTCCTTCCGTTTAACATACCAGACTCAGCTGCCTGACGTAAAAGTTAGCTTACACTATAGACGTAACACACTACTCATACGGTTGCTGAAGAACCTTCGACATCCCACGATCAATTTCGCCCTTCTTGGAAATCATCAGTTAGTCCCAGCGCTTCCGTCAACCTTACGTTCTACTCGGGGACTACTTCAGCTACCTGATGAGCTTTAAGAAAGGACGAAACCGGTCGTGGGCTGTCGAAGAATCTTCAGCAACCTTGTGAGTAGTGCATTAGGTATGCACATGTATCGCGATATCTCGAATATCATACCAACTGACGCATGAGGCGGCCTAGACATCATAAAAGAAAGCTTCAACTGAATTCTAGGTGAATCTTTCGCAAAACCAAATTTGTTTCCAAATGAGTGTATTTCGTTAACTTCTCCCACTTTATCCCATCTTAACTTGTCTCATTTTTACCCAAACTAACTTCTGAAATCTGTCATGTTCACTCTCATGCTACACGAAGAGAGATACCAAGAAATCGCATGGGTTTTAGAAACCTTTGAAGCTTTTGCTTCTCACGATGTTTATCCAAGTTATTCAACAGCCGGATTGTCCAAATAAGTCAAGCTGAGTTTGAAAAGTTTTGAATACTTCCTTTCTTGAACTACTGTGTTCTTGTAAACCGAAGAAACAAAGTCATTATGCAGCAAGTATCGCATTCTACTAAGCGCAGAACTGCGTTAGTAAAGGGAGTTGCGTTGCGGCGTGTTATTCGCGATCGGAGTGTGAACGAAGGAGAAAGTGGTAGTCGTACTGCAATTGCCTATACACATGGCCTGGAACCCAAAATTCAGGCACACTGCTGTTCCCCATTTGCGCGAGAAGCTTCTTTGATTCTGTAAACTGTTTTTGATCTGACGAACCCCAAAGCAAAGTGTGCCATTTACGGATTTCAGGCAAGAGTTAAATGCGACTGATTTCGACAGCCACCTGACTTAGAGTGTTCACCTTCAGTCCAGTTGACTAATGTAGCAACGCGCGAAAGTGCGCCACCTACCTGTGAGCAAATAGGGTCGTAATATGGAATAGATGGCGCAATAAGGTCAAACTTCCTTCCATCAAGGCCAGATAATATGGCATATGGATAGCCTTTGGAGCAATTGGATCAAGAATTGCATGAGTTTTCCGCCCCTTGGTTGGTAGCCGCGTTTTCAGCCCCTTGGTTAGTAGCCGAGTCGACGGTGTAACTGGATATTCTGCAACCTCATACTGCTTCAAGGATAAAACCATGGATGATCTTCATAGTAGCAATGTTGTGGAATGTAGGTAGCTCGGCTATGCTGCTTGGTTGTTCGCCTAGCTTGGCAGTTGGATTGCAAACGTTTCATCACCAATCGAGGTGACATCGTCAGTGCAATCCAACTGCCAAGCTCGGCCGACAGACCAATGACCTTCATATATTCCAACATATGTTACTCTGAGGTCAGCGTAGCAGTAACGTATACCATACGCAAGCCAACTCAAGTCGGTCATCCTCCAAGTTACGTCTAGAATTTAGCCGGTACACTCAAAAAGAGATGATCTTCGTGTAGCAGTGCCACCTCAGACATTGTTATCAAAAAGTTTGTAGCACCAGCAACGAAAAACGCCTTGTTTCTAAGGTGTGATGTTAACGGAATAAAAACGAATAAACAAAAGTGAATAAAATGACTAAACGATTAATAGATCTCCAAGTGAGTATGTTTCACGTAGCCTGCCTGATTCATTCTAAGAAAAGTTCATTTTGTTGTTTGAGATAGATGCGAGCTTATGAGGAACAGCGTTTTCAAAATGTTGAAAATAGTGAAATATTTTGCCTTATTTCTTGTTGTACCAACACGGGCGGGCAACTTTCTGTCAGGTGGCGCCCAGACATGGAAAAAGTACATGTACAGAGAGTGACGCATCCCCAAGGTCACCGTCGACACGACACGTTCGGAAAGCTGGTGCGTTGGCGGAGCGCACCAAACGCGACTTAGCAACATGCGACCAGCGGAGTGGGGCTAACACTGTTCACGACCGGAACACTGCCATTGGCTGTACAGAGCGAACGAGTAAACGACCCTATTTGGCCATTTAGTCATCCTATATG